TTTTACTTTATTGAGCGAAAATCGGGCATTGGAGTGAAAAAAATCAAGCAAAATTTGCTTAGAAATGACAAAGGATATCAGGAAACTGTTTTAAGATATATCAGTAGCGTACCATCAGTGTCTGCCAAAATAAATAAATGTGAAATCACTTACGAACGCCTCTGATGGAAATTGAAAAATGTAGTACAGTAGAAAATGCCTCTTGATAGTACGTATATGCCAAATTTCATTAAAATGCCTAAAGTGGTATTTACAGATATTAATAATAAATTATTTATTTATAAAAACTGTATCACTCTGGACATCAAAAATTAAGGAGTTTAGGACATATGTTCATATGAAGTTTTCTATTCAAGGTTTACGGAGGAGATAGAGGGGCGGGGGTCGAATGATCCATTTAAGGCGAAAAAAAGCTGCCAAATCCTTTCAGCTTGTTAGTTTCTCCCATCTTGTTTCGCAAGTTTATCCTCCCCCATCCGCCGCCACTGATTGTACATTTTATCTGTCCCATCTGCCAGAATCTTTTATACGGGGGATTCATATTTTAATTTTATTGCCCCTGAGCTTTTTGTAATAGAGCCTGTGTGTTATATGGACCGGAGCGGTAGACGCGACGAGACATAAGTGTGTTTTGTGAAAGGTTTTATTGAACGGTACGGTATGCGGTTGGCTTAGAATAATACCCTTGCATAACCATAACGCGGTCATAAAGTGACCTTGGGGTCGGAAGATGGGTTGCTTTTTGTGCGAGGTTGTTAAACAACATGAGGGCTGCTTCACAGAGAGGTACTCAAGTGGTCCACGTGGGTTCCCTTAATAATTTCGCACTCCATTTGCTGGTCCATGGATATAATGGACTCCAATTAAGTTTATTTTTCTCTGTATTGGAACAGCACCGGAGTATCGCATCTGCTAATAAACCAGCTAATGAGGAGTTGTTTACACTAGTTTTCATATTCGAATAACAAGGTCCAATCTTCATTTTAGATAATCCCAAGTCTCACCAAACCAAACCACATTATCTTTAAAATTCCTCTTTATTGTAGGACGCGTTGTTTCCAACGAGACCTTCTTCCAGTACAATTGACAATATATCATTTATCTGTCTTCCAGGTGACACGTTCTTCTTTCATTTTCACATTCATATACAGTGTGATACTGGAATAGTCTGAACGGTCCTGTAACATGCAGAGAATACGCGAAGCCATCATTGCAATTTCAAGATGGCACCGTGCAAAACCAGCAAAGCTCATGACCGCGTGGAGTAGATATTCCTGTTCTTAAGAGGATCCAGCCTTCCAAAGCGACAACTAAGTTATACGTCGCTTTTTAGTATACCAAACACGTCATCCTCGTGCATCGTTCCGAATACGCCAAAAGTTGTCCGAAAAAGCGGAAAACCTGTCGTAAAACACCAGTTCATTGTTATGCAATCTTACAGATGCTGCATGTGCATTGTTTATGGGGATGAAGTACGAGAAATAGTGCTTGCACATCTAAAGCGAACCAAATAAGACACAACAGTTTAGCTTTAAATTCACCGCTCATATAAGGATGTCCTGTACATTTCCCTTAAGGACTTCATATCGGAGAAATATTTTTAAAAACCGCATTGATCGCGACGAGGATCATAAAACGAGACGCCAGCTGTCAGCTGCCTGCTAATTGTTGCTATTCTCCAAAAACTGTTTCCAGCTCCAGACAATGAGGGCATAGACCTTCGAAAGCTCGAGTTCATGTTATAAGAGTGTGCTTATGCAATACTTTGCCGTCTACCCAAAGAAATTCAAAGATATTTTCGCAGTTAAGGCAATTAACTATAAATACTATATATTGGAAAAACAACTCTTACTAATATTGTTCACGTGTGGTATAAACTTGAGACATTCATCAAAACTACTACCCAAATTTTTGACCAATTCACTTACTTCAATAGTAGAACAATTTAGGCTTAGATTGAAATTATTTTTGATACCGTTTCTAAAATAATGACTTTTATGGTCCTGAAACACATTGTAATGACTTGGTCTTTACAAAAGCGACAAGTAAAACAGTATTTCTGTTAGCTTCAAAGTGCCCAACATCATTTTATATTGTAACAAGTTCATTTCAGTAAAACAGAGAGCTACTTGTCGCGTCGGTATAAACAACTTAACCCGCAAAACTTTGCTGAAGTATATAAAAATTCCACGAAAACGAGGCAAGACGATATATCAGAATAATCCTTCCTATCCTGGCCCGCATATTGTATACACAATAAAAGGAATCGCAATATGGTAAACAACCACTAAGGCCTTTCTTGTATCGGATAAATAGAACGAAGGACTCGTGGAATTGATTATACAGGGTGATTCGGAAAACAGCGACAGTAGTTTTAGAACAGAAAGTACTTTCAAAAATAACATGAATATAATTAAATCTCCCCGCAGTAACATACGGAGCGTTACAAATTTTTACGCCATTGACGGCAATGATTGAACATGAATAATCTTCAAATGTCATTTTGGTGAGATAGAATTACTTCCACACAAAGTCCAATGTCAAGTGCCACTGCAGCCTATTTTTAAAGTACAAAAAAGAATGTATAAATCGTTCCTGCGGATTTTATATCAAATATAAGTATTTTCCTCCAGAAGCAATGAACGAGAAAAAACCTCAACAAAGACAAACTCAACCAAAGTTAATTATATTATTGAATAATCAAAGACCTTTTTAAAATTTCAGTGGGATATATTATCTATTTATATGGGAATTATGACTTTATTGACCGAGCATTTTTGAAGCGCATGGTCACCTAGGTAGATATGTATAAAAATGACACATTAAAGTTGAATAAACTTTCACCGCCACATAAAGCAACCGCAATATCTGCATCATGGAACGGCGGGAGAGACACTGCCGATACAGGATAGAATATGCGACGTTGACACATCGTTTCCTATCCACTTTCAACTCCTTTTCAAATAATCCAATTTTTCAAGTAGTTTGGTAATGCTAAGCTCTCAAATGCAGTTATAAAGTAGAATCTGCATTTATTTGTAATACACCAAAATTATTAGCAGTATTCAAAAATCGCTAAATGATCTATACTCGGGTACCGAAAATGAAGAGAGCGACAAAACACAGATGCGATACTCCACTGGCACCGTGGTTTATCTTTGAATACCGCGGAATATGCGCGCACTCACTTTATCAGTTTAAAGACAAGCTCTGTTCATTGTCGACACCAGTCGGTAATAGCAATTATAATTGTATGCCCAACAGGCCCAAGAAGCTCTACATGATTGCACACATTCATTATTTACATAGGTCTTATTAATTATGATTATTTATGTAACGGGAGGAGTATTCTTTTCATAGGAATGCGGTGAATAATTGCTATTTCTCCGGTTTCCAGTGAAGGAAATACTTTTCCGGAAGAGACAAGATATCCCAGATTTTACGCCTGAAACACTGACTTTTTCTAGATATCGGTTACACGTACGAATCTTTCACTCTAAACTTATTTTCTTTTCTGTTTCACTAAATGCGGCTTCAACACCCTGCAAGGGGCATTTCTGGACCTGGATCTACAGGAAACTTTTCTTGCGTCGTTCTTTCCCGTCAAGCATGCACTACATTCCAATATAAGCTTGTTGGGTCAACATCCAGAGGCGTATGCAACTCCTGCACCTTATCCTGCAAATCTCGCTGATTCATTTCCTGTTTTTCTACAACAACTAGTTTCAGGGTCTGTGTGAAGTGGGGATAAGCAATAATGTACTGTCTGCGGCAGCAATACCAGTGGCAATTATAAAAGTGCAAAAATAGAAAGTATTATTATAAAAACGCCATTTTGCTTTATCTAGTCCCGGCATCGTTAAGCCTAGAACGTATCTTTTAAGACATCTCGATATCCTGCAGAAGTAGCCACTGTTTTTTGAACCACCCTGTAGAGCGGAGGAAGTCGTAGATTTGATTATACGCTGTATAAACCGGGAGATGATCCTGATAAGTTTGCTCGTATAAAAGTGGATGAGACGATTGCAGAGACGCCTTTGCCTTAGGCTCATGACGTATGCACTTTGTTACTGTTATGGTCCTGTTTTGTTGTCCTCAGGATCGAGCGGGCGATACAAGAATAATAACAACGCACACACAAACAAACACATTTGTTATAACTATTTTTGCTGCTCTGCCATGATACGGGCGATTTGCTACGTCTGGTAGGATTATTGTACATTTTGACATAACAAAGTGTTTTTGTTGTATTTTATAGAAAGTGGTATACATATTTTGGTGAAAAAATGAGGTAAGTAGGTCGCGTTTTTTCCGTACTTACGAGGGATGTCCTTTAAGTCTTGCATATAGAAACATAGTAGGCCGCGCGGATCGAACGTCAGTACTGAATCTTAACCTCACTCTTTAGTAAACTTAATTGATAGTTTCACAACAATACATGCAGTGTTCTCACTACAGTGGATTTGTAATTGTCCCAAAGTCATTAGAAAAATGGAACTCATCCTCGAACATTTTCACGCCATAATTTATTACAACTTTCTGAGTTGCTGTCTGTTTTCGGCAACGAAGCGCCACATCAGTCGACAATTTCCCGTTGGTATGGAGAAGTCAAACGTGCACGGGTGAGTCTTAGCGACGATCCCAGGGTGGGTCCACCAAAAACAAACACAGAAAAACGTCGATGCTGTGCGCAAACTCATCATTGAAGATAGACATGTGACATATCGCGAGATTGAGGCGTCCTTGAAGATCTCAAAGACCTCAATTCAAAAAAATTTACATGAAGAATTAGGAGTAAGAAAATTAGTTTCTCGTTGGATACCCCCACCTGTTGACTGAAGAGCAGAAAGCAGCCAGGGTTAATTGATGTCAAAAAACGCTTGATCTTTTCAATTCCAGAAACTCAAAAAATGTGTACAGCATTGTAAGTGGTGACGAATCGTGGATTTACTGTTACGAACCAGAAAATAAACGACAGTCGGCTGTTTGGGTGTTCCAAGGTGAAGAAAAGCCAACAAGTCATCCGTCCTCGAAGTGTTTCGAAAAAGATGGTCGCGACATTTGTGTCAAAAGCGGGTCATATTGCAAAAATTCCTCCTAATGAGCAAAGAACTGTTACTGTGGATTGATATACCACCATTTGTTTGCCAAAAATCATCACCGAGTTTCGAAAAATCAACCCCGAAAGAAGAATCATCCTCCACCAAGACAATGCAAGCTCGCACACAGCCCAAAAAATAAGGCAGTATTTAACGGAAGGAAACGTGGAATTATTGGACCATCCTCCATATAGTCCCAATCTAAGTCCTAACGATTTCTTTACTTTCCCGAAAATTTAAAACAGACTGCGTGGTCAAAGGTTCCAGTCACCAGAAGAAGCAGTTGACGGATTCAAAAATGCCGTTTTGGATCTGCCAGCAAACGAGTGGAATAAGTGCTTCGAAAATTGGTTCGAGCGGATGCAGATGTGTATTAATCTTCGTGGAGAATACTTCGAAAAACAATAAAGTCATTTAAGACTACCTACCGTATACATTTTTGCTCTAAAGACCAAAACGATGGTAGTTAAGGAGTCAAATGGGTCATTCTTATTTTCAGTATGATTCCGATTTCATTCCCACTCTTCGGAAAATATATCAATGAAAAAGGTATAAATATAAGTTAAACATGAAGAACAAACAGTGCTTTTCAAAGGGCTCCGTCTCTTATTTATTTTTGAAACGGGTCAAATTAGCGAGATGAAATTTGGAGTAATGAATTGATATTCAAATGTATATTTTAGCGTAAAAGTGTAGATTGAAAATTTTAAGACGGTGACTGAGCAGCATTTTGGAGCATTTTCTAAATTATTTCGTTTAGAACAATTGTCAATATCTGACTAGATGTCCCATATTTTATTGTAGATTCGGATAGACCCTGTCAGAAAAAGATTATTGTTATAGAATGAAATAACGTTTAAATGATTAGTTGTCCAGTTATATGCGATTCAATGCTCGACCTGTTCAAAAAATAAATACGGGGGGGCTTTCTGAAAAACGCCGTATATGTCAGTTTTCCAAGCTGGATGTCTTTATTCGTGGTAGTGGCATATTATCAAAATCTCAGGTCAGGGAATCCAATAAATAAACTTTTTCTTTTTATTATTTTATTATCCAGGCTACTCGACTTCTATAAGGGATGCCTTGTTTATCGGATCTTTGAACTGTCTAAACGAACTAGGGAATACCTTCTCAGGCAGATTGTTGCACAATCTCGACACTGTAGGAATAAGGGAGCGGTCGTACCGACAAGTTCTCGACGAAGTTCAACAGAGTTGAGATGGGAGACAAAACCCTGGCACGCTCAATGCTCGACGACATCATGGATAAGAGCTTTGAGTAGAAGAACCCCTTAAAAGAGTGGTAGAAGAGAGCAAGATTGCCGACTACCCATCGGTGCGAAGTGTTCCGAGACTGTCAAACGTGTGAGCGGGAGGCCTGTTGTTATCTGGGCCTTGTGTAGAGTGAGGAGGTTATGCGGAGCCCTGAGCCCTCAAATTCTCGGTGATCTTGACCCCGATCAGCCGAAACGAATGGCTCTTTGGCAGAGCTAGGGCTAGTCAGTCAAGGTACAGTACTGTGTATTGGAAGCATTAAACTGTACTAGATTGTTACACCCCAAGCGGAGGCAACTTCTGGGTCTACTGTCAGATCGGAAATCGCTACTAGTCTTCTTCTTTCCAGCTCATCAGCAGAGAGATCGGCTTGCCACACTGAATGCTTACGTTTTTTATATTTTTGAGGGAATGGTAATGGAACCGAAACCATAAAGTCCTCCCCAGACTCACGAGACGATCGCGCGCGAAGCCGCGAACTACCCGCGACCCATGAGTGTGGATCCCATTCGCGTATTCTTCGCGGTTTCACGTCGCGTTCGCGCGTTGTTCCCGTTTGTTGTCGGTGTTTTGTCCCGCGACAAAGGGTTCGCAAGGTGCGAACATGACTAGGCTCCTCACTCGCTGGCGCTGGTGGCTCACACAAAACATATACACTGAAGAAGGTTTAATTCCATGCTATTCAATGGCAACACGGTGACTTGTATGGTTGTCAGCGGCCATTTTTTGAGGGTGGACATTGTTGCCAGATTGTGCATTAATATCCCACAGCGTTGCCAGCTCTACATATAAATCTGAGATTGCTATACTTTTATATATATATATATATATAGATAGAAATTTGGTGGGATATGGGAGATCTTATAACAGCATGTGTTATTAACATTTTGCGCTATCTTGACGAATAAATGCTTTTTTTGTATGTTAAAATAGCAACGTCAATAACACAAGCTGTTATAAGATCACTCATATCTACTTACTAATCTGAAAAGGTTCGGAAGAAAGACATATACTGCAAATACCTAAATATATATTAGTTATATAAATCTCATACATTTTTCTACAAACAAATCAGTATTAACATCATTATGGTCCAGATGTTTGCATTCCCCAGCGTTTGTTGGCAACTGCATAAATAAAAAATTAGAAAAATATTGAATTGTGTTGATGTTTCTACAATTCACAGATTCCTTTTTTTATTAGAACAATAATATGATTGTCCACGGGTACCCACAGATGTGCTGATCATCATCAAGAGATAACTGTTACCACAGCCTCCCTGATGGCACCCATGTTATTGTTCAATAACAATACTTTGACTTCATTAAGATAATAGTGAGATTTACATATCAACCATACTGCTCTGACAATAAATTTAAAACAAAGTATGAAAACTAACTTGGACAAAAAACAGTACAAATCATCATTAGCTATTGAGTCATATAAAAACTTACAAATGTTGTGTTCTGCAAATATCCTTCAGAGCTGAGCCTTTTGGTTAGATCTAGAAGTAATCTCCGAGCTTCTGATAATTCTCAGGACCTCAGGGGTTGACAACGGCAGCTATTGAACTTTTCGTGGTGCTCCACACACAAAGAGTGATGTGGAGATACAAACAGGTTCGATCTTCAAACATTACATTTCTAAAATGAGTAACCGCTGCATCTCTGCTTTTCCTCAGGATCTGCCAGGAGCCTGGCTAATGACTTGGATCACCTTAAGAAAGACAGCTTTGATGTGGAGTTTGTCTTATAGTATTGACAAACATAGGTATTACAGCTTTGTGTACTTACAATGTTATACTTCACAACTCCGAACAAAATGTATATGGCTCAAATAACATAATAGAGACCTTATTTAATTAAAATGAAATGGACAACGGACAACGTCAGTTGTGAATACGTCGCCTTTTTTGAGGGTGCGACATAGTTGTCATATTATGCACCAGCAACCCTGCTTGGTTTCCCATTCGCCAATATGAGTTTTACCCTTCTGGTGGCTCAGTTGCCTCACAGCGACTGTCGGGAGTGGTTGTCTTTTTACCACTTCTTTTTTAATTGTTTTAGTTTTACTTATATATGCGTAATTATGAATTGCCAAAGCGCAAAGTAGCCTTGCAGCAGCAGCAATAGCAACTTCACCGTGAAGGCGCGAACATCTGCGACTGTGGAACTGTAGGAACAGTTTTCGGGATCCGCAACGCGATCCGCGCCGCGATTTCACGCCATGATCCGCGCTTGAGTCTGGAGAGGGTATAATACCAATTCACTATCTTTTTTTTAAAATACATCCACTCTACCTTGGATTTGAATGGGGTTCAGATTACGACGTATATTGATGTGGGTAAAGAAAATTCAGTGAACGGCAAAGTTAGTTCCAGCCAAAGCTACCTCGACGGAATATTTTTATTGGCGACGGTTTTTTGTTGGCCGGCGGATCTGCTACTTGAAGAACAATAGCTTCTTTCGCGGGGCGCGCCATTATCCACGAATGCTACCTCGGCTCCTCAGGATCGATAATCGTGTTTGTTTTGGGTTTTGTCGGGAAGCCGACTAATTAGGAGATGTAAAGACGCCGCCAACTGGGATATTATCGTTACGAGCCAGGTGAAAATGACTGCTCGAGATGAATATGAACGGAGACGAGTGGTCTTGACGTTTACGATGTAGCGGGCGGATTCCAGGAAAATAGTATCACTATTTTCGAATAGCGATATATAGGCTATTGATATCCTGAACAAAGTACCGTGATGAAATGGCATTCAGCGAAGTATTAAAACCTGTAAACGCAATATTATAATTCTACTCGCTGACAAGTTGTATAGATTTGTTCTTCGCGTCCGGTGCCGGTTCCGGGGATCTTTCTTCGTTTTAGCCCTCTTGTGTCTCACCACCTTTTCATTTACCTCTTAAGTTTTTTTCTGTAATCTACATAATGTAACGTACAATTTTTGTGTAAACGGAAGTGTATAAAGTTACCGAAATATGTATAGATATTTGTTTATATTAATAGTTGATAATATACATATTATAACTACTGCAGGGTGACTTCGAAGTTGAGTCATTTATTTTAACAGTGAGTAAATCTGATCAAAAGAAATGTTTTTTTCCTTTAATATTTTTCTGGAAAAATTAGAGTAACAAAGTTATAGCCCTTTAGAAGTTTGAGTACCGCCCTGTCTCAATAATAATATTATGTGCTTGTGTTTGGCAACAACGGATATAATCCACCTTATCGGTTCATCGCATCGGAAACAAAAAAACGAAAGAATTTGAAACGCTTATCACGATGTTTTTACTACAATTTTATTCAGTTGTATTCAGTCAATGTGTCAGTCGGTAACGCGTGAGTGAACAGTGGTGTTTGTTGCGTGGTAGTCTTTACAAAATGCTGCCGCGGCATCACGGATTTATGCGGATCGGTTTTCCAATCGAGTGCAACCAACCCCTCGTGCCTTTGTTAATGTAGTACAAAGGGCTCGTGAATCAGGTGACTTGAAGACCTCACAGGGGAGGGCATGCCGGTGCTCCAAGACCGCACGATCAAATACAGGTCCGCACTGAAATACTTGTCGGGAGGATACATTTTTTTTTGTTTTTTTTTTTATTTTTACACACATATTTTGGTTTATCTTCCTTCTACAATCATTATCTGAAAATTAATGACTCAACTTCAAAGTATTTTAAGTTTTTATTTAATTAGATGGGATTAATGGGTTTTTGGGTCTTCAGGGCTTTCTCGCATGGACTATTTGTTTCAACGGGTTCCACGTATCGGTTAAATAATCGAGAGACAGTCCTTTTTCATCATTGTTTATCGTAGAATTTCCTTTGACGAAATAATTATTTTGAATTTGAATTTCGTTTATAGGACATAATAATCTTATGCTGGATTTTCAACCTTAGTCGCATGCTACAGAATAGGTAACCCAGAAGTTACAGTTGGGCAAAATCCCCAGTTTAATTTTCAGCCTTCGAAGCATAAGCGATCGGCTGCGGGAGGAAGCGCGCACCGCCGTTTACAGTGTCAAGCGGTGATAAATCGACGCGTACTCCGTACAGGTTCC